AAGTTACCAGCATCTGATAACAGCAGCTTTAAGTTCTAGCAGGAGACTGATGTATGCTAACAGGATGCTGACATGTAACTGCTAGGGTGCATGGTTGGACTGTGCTTGCAGTTGGAAACGTGTGCTGACATCCAGGAGCGCAGCCCCTAACGTGAAGGGTATGTAAGAGTGAGAACCAGCGTTGCAGCGCTCCGCCGTCTTCCCTGTTTTGTTTCATCTAGTGCATGTTTCAGCTCAGATGGTTGGAAAGAATGAAAGTGCTTACTTTCAATATAATCCTTAATGTGGGGAAATCTAAGCCTGCAAGGATTGATTTTAATTTCCTCCGAAAAGTTGCTGCTGGCAGAATCTGATAAAGATGGTTTTAGTCTGATTTTCCTCCACCCGCACCTCTGCCCTTCGTGAGCTATCTGAGCTATACTTATCTCAGGGAACTCATTTGGTGATCACCACAGCTTGCATTCATTATCTCAAATACCTCTCAAATCGTAGGCTGATGAACAGGCCTGGAAAAGCGGCCTAACAACATTTTTTTGAAACTTTTCTGTTTTAGCGGAGAATTTACCTAGATTCTCATTGGTAATTTGCTTTTCTGCCCTACATTTAGCTGCCTAGTGAGCATACGAGAAGCAGAGCCACTCCATTTCTTTTGACTGATCTGGGCTGCATGTTGCAGTTTCTTTTGTTTTGTTTTTAACCAAGATTTGTTAATTTCTGTTGAGGGCTATTGAACAGTTTTGGTGCTAGAGGGGCACTGCTCGCTGCCTTCCCACTGTGCAACCAGGGGAGCAGCGTGGAGACCACGGTCTTCTGCAAGAGGGGCCAAAAAAAATGTGGTGCCAGCCTGCACCTTGAATTCCCTGGCAGAGTTGCTGTGGCGTAGGAAATGTGGGGATGTGGGGTGTCAAGGCTGGCTTTTAAACGTTCAGAATTGGGGGCCTAACTGCCCAGAGGTTTTGTCTGCATTTCTAAGAGCTTTTTGGGGGTACATATTCTGTTTTTCTCTGCTCCCAGGCCAGGGAGAAGCTGTGGAATCAGGTTGCAGCCTTGCTGCTTTAGCGAGGTCTTAATGAACGAGATGTACCTTCGTCTTCCAGAGCAGGAAATGCAGTGAAGATTAGGTTAAAGCAATTCACACATACTTGGTAAAATAAAACAGTCTTTGCCATTCTTGGACTCTGAAAAGGAAAACAAATTTCTGTGGGAATGAAAGCACAAGCTTCCTAGACTGGAACAGAGCGTTGCATTGCAGGAGACGTTTAGCATCGTGTTCTGACCTCCCTGGAAACAGATAATATGGGAATTTTTTTGTCAGACTTATTTAAACTTTTAGTTGCATGTAAGTAAGTGGCACATTTATTTGAAAAAAAATCAACAGCATGCCAATCCGGGTTCTAGGCACTTTAACAAAACTAATCATGCAATAAACATAGTTCCCTGAAATCAATGCCAAATGCTCTGATCCTCATGCTGTTAGAGAGGTCCTTTTGTTCTTATTCTCTGTGTCAAGCACCAGGTGTGACTGTGTCCAGCCTTTACTGATTTCAAGCTGCTCATGCACAGGTTTAAAGCTCCACCTGTGCTGCACATCACTGCAAGTTGCCCAAACCTTGCAGAAACGTGCTTCTCGCCCGCCAGGAGTGCGCGGTGGGACAACCGCACGGCACGCTTACCTTGCACCCGTCTCAGCAGGGGGAGCGCGGCCAGCTCGTAGGGTTCACCCCGGCGCTGCGATAGTTGTTGCTGGGCCGTGTCCCTTTACCATGGGCTGGAAACAGCGTTGCAGAGCAACGTTTTCCAGCCTGTCAGTGGAGGCACAGTCAGGCTGGTGGTGGGCATGTCAACCTCTCTGTGATCCTGAACTCCAGGAAGCTAGGTAGCAAAAAATACCAGTACAGTACCTTGGCTGCATCTTCAGGGCTGGATCCCAAGGCAATTAAAACCAGTAGGAGTCTTTCTGCTGACTTCAAAGATCCTTGGATGAGACTGCTATTGCACAGAGAGCCACCCCGTCATCCCCAGCGCTTTGAAGTATTTTCCAAGGATGGGGGGAGAAAGAAAGAAAGAAATCTGTCAAAGGAGTGTTTTTGTCTGTGCTTTTCAAATGCTTTAAAGAAACCAAGGTCAAAGCTTAGCTCACTCTGGTGTTGTTATTGATGGATACTGTGAGTGGCTGCAACGTTTACAGCAATGAAAAGAGTTCAGTTAATGAAATGCAAAGTTCTTCTGGGGTCACAAATAAGTGACTGGAGCAGCTAGGTGTGTTGCTTCCCTAAGTCACATGAGATAGAGCACTGAGATGAAGCGCTCTATTAAACTATTTTCTGCATGTGGCTTACATATGCTTAAATTCTGCATGCCAAATAGAAGATGGAAATACCTGAGAAGAATTAAAAGGCAGTTATGAAGCAGACTCTTTGTGAAGGAATTTTCAGTTTCTAATACTTGGTTACGTTAGATTTATTCAACCTCTCTTTTCTGTCAGTGCAAATGAGATCATAACTCATGTATGTGAAAGCAAATGGATGTTTTGGATCCAAAAAGGCACAGCTGGCTATCTTTAATTTGTATTAAAGACAGGCATAAAAATGATTGATTACAGCATCTTGAGAATTATATCTGAGTATGACGAAAATTAGTCAAATTATGCCTCAAACCCAGCGTGCACCACGGTGTGCCTACAGTCCTGTCGCTCATCTTTCCAGGGGGAGGACAGCGTTGTGTGCACATCCCGCGCGCCCTCCTGGCAGGAGGGAGCTCCCCGCGCGCTGGGTTTGATCACGGCGTGCCAGGATACAGGCTGCAGGCCAAAGTGAACCAGTTTGAAAAAGGGAGGTTGAAAATTGTGGACTTTACTACTTATTATTTGTGAAATGAAATATGGGTCGGACAACTTCACGTCCTGTGAAATGCACTTGCATTATTGCACAATGTTGTTACTCTTTCTTTAGAATAAACAGCAGGGCCAATGTATTTTTTAAATTAGGGAGAAGATGCACTTTCCTCCACTGGCTTGGGATGTGGGGCAAGATAGAGTACCGATGAAGCACGTGCACTTTCCCTTTGGCTTTGACTATCATGTTAAAGACAGTGGTGTTAAGCCACATGGAGAGCGCTTACTGAGGGTCATTTGAATTCGTATGAAAGTACCAGGGTTAGCATTTAATCCAAAGATAGTAAATGGATAGAAATATTAGAAGTTTATAACTGGGTTTGGTAGGATTTGAAGTCTCCTTCTTGCTGCTGAAGTTCATTGTCCAATAGGCTGAAAATGCTGAGAAACGGCAGATACGTGTGGCCTTCTCCCGTCTTGTGCTGGAGTGCATCTTCTCAGACACACCGCGGTGTCTCAGGCGTGCGCCAGGTATCTAGTATCCATCCAGGTGCAGAGCTGGGCCGGTCTCCCGCGGCCAGATCTGCACTGGGGTAGGCACCTAATTAATGGCCCTTTAATCCCACTGGTTTCCAGGGAAGTCAGCTAGCTTTGTGGCTCCACTAGCACTCTTACAAGAGGGAAGCTGCCTTTTTCATGACGTTGCTTATACGTGTTTTTAAGCTGATCTTATGAGTTATATCCCTTTCTCACCACGTTTGCCTGAACTCTTCATTTTCTAAGCCTTTGGAACAAGTTATTGCTCTGTCAGTGTTTCTCTGTGTACCTCTTAACACCATAGGGGATGAATGATTTGGAAGTAGTGCTGTAATTTAAAATAATCACAGCTGTCAATGCATGTGCCAATTTCTAGTGTAATGGATCTTCTAGAGCTGCTGCGTATATAATCTGTATTTTGTTAGGTTTCAACTATACTCAGAGCCTGGGAAGACTCTGGCCTGTAATTTATTTCTTAGTAAATCTACTGATGGAGTGACTCCAAAAAGGAGGAAGCAGCATCATCTCTGCATGTTTGCGCCGTTCTGAAAAGAAAGCAAAACGTTTATATTGGGAGATGGCTGAAATACTGTGTTTGTGCCCGAGAATTAAACCAGGATGCTTGTGATGCAGCATGTAATGACTTGCATAACATGTAATGAAGAAATTGAAACAGTCTCTGGGTGCATCATGCTGAGTAAGAGGCTTGTTCTACAAGAAACTGTCATATTAAATTCTTGTCGTGATTCCAGACCCCTTTGATTCCTAAATCTTTTGGAGGAGACTAATCTGAAATCAAAGTGAAGTTGCTTGGGGTCTGCATGCCAGAAGTGGTCACATTTGAAAAAGTTCAGTGAACCTGCAGAGGGAGGTTCAAATTAGTTGCTTCACTACAAAGCTTGCAGCTAACATACCTGCTGATTTGCTGTTTGCTTTGATTCTTCGTGCTCTGCCTTCTTGCCTTCTTCTGAGTTGTTTTCAAAATGCATAAATATTAAGGGTGAGCATGTCCTGGTTTCAGTCCTTGTTTAGTAAAAAAAAGGAAAACCGGTCTACAGTGCTTGGTACAGAATAAAACAAACATGAGTTTTAATACTGTGGACATGGAAAGACTGGATTTTTCTCCTCTGCCTTGCCCTTTGTGCAGTTATTTCCCTTTGTAGAGGTGTATATTGTGCTTTACTCTCCTGATTTACCAACATTTGACCTCCCTTTGTACCAAAGTAAATCGAAATGGTCCCTTTCAAGTTCTTCTCGGTAAATCCTCAGGGCTACTGCCTTGATCCCTCTGAGCTGACTCTGCTCCCTGTAAACCACCGGAGCAACGCCGGGAGTTGTGCCCGAAACCCCGCCGTTATCCCTGCTGAATGTCAGCTTCTTTATTCTGATATTGGCATTTGGGGGGTGTTGACCAAGAATATCGTGCAAAACGCAATGCAAATGGGAACATGTCCAGTGGGTTAAATTCTGCCCTTCTTTATCCCCCTCAAGGTTTGTGTGGGCTGTTGGGTAGCCTAGCGATGTGCTTTTTGGTCCAGTCCAAGCAAAATCCCCGATGTAGTTATGGCCTGTGTTTAACAATGTAGACGGCCCTGTATGAAAGCTGATTTTTGTTACTTTATATTTGCAGTGTTCTGTCTCCTGTGGAAAGGGTCAAAAGCACCGAACTGTGTACTGTTTGTCAAAGGAGGGGAGGCATGTAGAAGAAGATTATTGCAAGCACCTTGCTAAACCCAATGTGCAAAAGAAATGCAGAGGGGGCAGATGTCCGAAGTGGAAATCGGGAGATTGGGGACAGGTGAGACGCACTGATTACCCTTTTGCATCATTTGATATTCCTCATCTGTCAGATCGGTTAGAAACTATTTTTCCCCTCGCTTCTGTCCTCTTGAATTTTTCAAGGGTAAATGTTCTGGGCCAGATCCTCAGGTGGTGTAAAACAGTGTAGCTTCATGGACAGCAGTGGAGCAGCACTGATTTGTACCAGCTGAAAACATGGAAACTTGCTTTTAGAGTCTTACTGATAGCAAATTCCTTGTTGCATACACTAAGCTCCTGCTAGAAAACCCGTTAGTATATAACATTCAAGAAAAATCTGCTATTATTCATGTTTTTAATATTGTTATTATTTAAATATGTCACATCCCAAGCAAAATCTTTCTTAGTTTTGAGAAATCTGAAATTAATTTTATTATCAGCTCCCTGGTAAAGCCTAAAGAACAATCAGAGTTACTCATTAAAAATATTTTTCACTACGTTTTGTTTCTGAACAAGCTCATCACCTAATTGTGCTTCATTAAAAAGTCAGACCCTTTGATGCTTAGAGCAGAGGCTGCTGGAAACGTGAAAGTGCTTGGAGTTATTAAGCATCTTGTTTGCAGAGAGCGTATCTTGAGTCCTTGTTTTTCTGAAAGTAACATGTTTGTCATCACCTTGAATCTGCTGCATCACATTTTTAGGTCTGAATCTCAATTTTGCCTCTACCTCAATAGTGTGCTAATCAGCAGAATTACTGAAAATCCCAGACTGAATGAACTGTTAACTTGTAAAACATCATGTTCTCTTGCAGTCTGTCTTTCACGTTACAATACAGAACACCAGTTCTCACTGCTTGCAAGTTCCCTAAAACATAAACCAATAACAAATCTACACGCACACACATAGATATTAGGACTAGGATATCATGTTGTTAAATGTTAAATCTTTAAAAAGACAATAAACCCATTGATTTTTTATGATTGTTTTCAGACTTCTATTTGTTTTTTATTCTTACCTTTGAATTCATAGGATGCCAGTATTTGCCTTTACGTGTGGAAGGGATTAAGTGTGCTTTCACTGTGGAGGTTAGGTTATTCAGATCCTAGTCCTTTACGCGAGATAAGGCTCTGAGGACCCGGGAGCACCCAAGCACTGCTGAACTGAGCAGGGCTTCTCCCGTATTGAAAGTTAAGTCTCCATTTTATTATCTGCAGGACTGAGACCTTACTTTTGTACAAGAAGCCACAGTGGGAAAAAGAAAAGAAACTCGAGGCTATTAAATAGTCTTGTCATATCCGATTTGCACCTTATTTAAAGTGACTGCTCCCGAAAGCAATTCTTTACGGCTTATAATTCTAACCATAATAACGTAATGGTCTGTCGATTGCTTTAAAATATGCTAATTTCAGCTGATAAAAATAAGTGTTTTAAAATTCAGAACGCTCCACCACATGACGGGAGGTGATTTTATGCCAGTGGAGAAAGAAGCCGAAGTTAGCAGGAGGATGAGATGATTTATGGCCTGAGGTAATCTTTTGTGACCAGGCAATTAGAGAGTATTTGTGTATTAACGATCAGGCTACGAATAGGCAGCCCATCTCCAGCACGCGAGGTGGCTCCTCAGCCGATGCGCGCGCGCGCGCCGGCCCGCTCCGAAAAACTGAACGGCTCTGCAAGCGGGTAGAAACACACGTGCGTTGTCAACAGGGGCCTTTTACAAGCTCATAAAAATGTTCCGATATGGTCTCCTCACTTGCCGACCCTAGCGGGTTGTGCTGGATCGGGATCGAAATGGGCCCAGAAACGCGGCGTCCCCTTCCGCGTCGCGGGTGACGCTCGTTCTGCTCGGCTGGCAACGGGAGCCGCGGCCGGTTTGCGCTTCGAGACTATCGAAAAAGGCTTTTTCTGCCGGCCTAAAAGATAACCCCAGCGCCAAGCTGCCGTGAGCTGACCCCTTTTTCTGCGCTGCGTAAGCTGGCCAAAGCCTGCCTGAGAAGTAAGGCAGGGTTTTCCCACGCAAAGGCCTTCGCCTTGTCCCGGGGTCCAGGCCGGCCGCGTGCCGCGCGCCCCTTCCGCTGCTTCCGTTGCCGCGTGGGAAATCCTGCCTGCACGATTCACGCTGACTCGCAAGGAGAAGCAAGGCTGAGCCAAGTGCTCCGGGCCCAGAGGTTTTGCTCTCCGGACGTTTGGTGTTCAGAGTCTGGGTAACGCTTTTCTAGGTTGTTACGAATCCATCTTCCTACGGCAAAGTACTTCTAATAGCCGTATTAATTGGAAGGGAAGAGAAAAGGTTTTTCTCTCCAGGTTTTAAACGTGCTTGCGTCTGCACTGAAATGTCAGATTTAATGTGTTTGTATCTCCTAAGTGGTATCAATTATGGTCATTTACCGTTCACGGAGTGAAAATAACAATATTTATTCTGCTCTCTGGTATTTACTTACTTCAGTTACAGACTGAAATCTAGCCCTGTATTTTTATAAGGGAAAACTTCTCCATAGCTGAGCTGACATGCTGCAGTTTTGAGACTGACTTTCTCAGTAGGAAAAGGAGTGCTCCTAAAAAACGTATAGGACCCAAAGAAGTGACAAACAGACCGATTGGCTCATGGTATCCCATAGGGGAATGTATAAGTCGCCCCGTTCCTGAACTGAATAGCTTCAGGCACGTTCTACTTTTAGACATTCAGCAGTACCAACTAGTTGCATTTCCACAAGATAGAGAGAAGATGCCCAGCCAGTATACTGGATTAAAATAGTCAGGATGAAACTAACGTAAGACATCTCCTTTCGTTGCCTTTGCAGTAGAGCATAATTCTATTATTTTGAACCCAGCCACAAATCCAGCCTGAGCCATGGCAGTACCAGCGCAGCAGAGGCAGCGGCGGGAGGGAGCCCAGCAGGGCAGAGGGCCGGTTCCCGACCCGATTCTGCCAGGAAGACTTGCATGGCCTCGGCTTGCCAAATTTCGCCAAAGCTTGGCCATTTTTTTGCCTTTGCCTTACTAAGGGTTAATATTGCAGTATCCCTGCAGCATTGATTTAGCCCCCTCACAGCAGCCCTGCGGCCCCAAGGTTGGACTCCCCTCCAACGCTATTTTCTAAGGCCGGGGGACTGCGCTGTGATTTTTTTTTGCCGTGTTATTGCTGGATTGCATAATGGCTGGTGTTCCTAAATGTGCTTAAAAAGCCCATTCAGCCTCAGCTATGAAACGCCTCCCCCAGCACACGCACCTGCAATTACCCCGAGGAAAAGCATCTTCGCTGGCCGGCTGGGCAGAGGGTGTTTCGCATCTCTCCTACGGGACGTGATGGGGCCGCGGCGGTCCCAGCGCTGCAGGCTCCCACCTGGCTTTTGCAGCCTCAGTGCGGCGCAGCACGGCGAGCCACGCGCCGCCACGGTAAACTCCCCCGAGCGACGCAGGACGGCTGTTCTCCTCCCAGAACCTGTCGCTGTCTGAGTGTCGTGGGTGGCTCTGCCCCTCTGTGCAGGAGCCACGACGTAACTTGCTCTGCCCTTATCCTAGCGTCCTGGACGTGTGCTTTGTAGGTGGTGATAAATGCAAACTGAAAAGCGTTGCAGAGCAGTGCATGCGTGCTGGAGAATATACATTGCTCCAAGTTTGTTTGCATGATTCAGTTTAACCGTCCCCGGTGGGATGCTTGGGACAAACAGCACAATAAATCACAGCAGAGGCAGTGCAGCAGATGGAAGTATTTGCATCGCCAGTGACAGAAATCTTAACTGCTGCTTTTCCAAGTTACACAAAAAAAAGCCTCTCCTAAATATCTGCAGCCAGGAGCATGTTTGCAGTCAGCTTTTCTTTGGGTCCTCTTTGCTTTTTGTGCATTCGGATAGTAAAGCGAACCAAGTGCTTCAGAGGAATATTTTGCAGAACTAGCCGGAAGAGAATTGCTTCCTCATTATGCGCTGCTTAATCTTCTGCCTTAAGAAAGCTTGCTTTTATAGGTATTACAATAATGGGCTATAAACTTTTTTTCTTAGTTCCTCACCTATTAATGAGGTTGCTTATATGAAGTGTTATGTCAGCAAACGGGTAATCGTAATAGCTGTGCTCTAAATGTGTACGTCCTGATTTTTATGCTCCTTCTTTTATAAATTCTTTTTATTCCACATCTGCACAATATATTGTAGGATCTAGCAGGAAAGAACCCGTAACAGAGTGAAGTACCGCTTAACACTATAGGGTGCAACAGTAAGAAGTATTAAGCGAAAGAAAAAACAAGCTGTTAAAAGCACTGTGGTGCAGATAATAATTTATCGATATCTGAGAAACAGAGAGATTCAGGCTTTTCTCCCTGTGTCTAAAAGTAGGCAGAAACGTGCCCACAGTATAACAAAGGAAAGATGAAAAAAGAGCAGTTAATTTAAGAGAGACATTTATTTTCCTAAACCTACGGGATGCCCTGGCTGGTGCAGTGCGCATTTACATGCGTGTTAAAAGCAAATCCAGACGTATCATACCTTGAGCTCCTCGTTGCTACAGTCCTCCTCCTAGGCGATTCAAGTTTGCTTTTCATTAAAGTCTGCTCCGAGGACGTTTGTGGCATGTGACATGTTTTGAGCTCTTTTTCTGAGCTGGGCGCACGGGAAGCGATGGGCAGAGCCTCGCTGCCTCTGGCGCGTGGCGCTGTTCTAGCAGCGCCGCTCTCTCCGGAGGTTTTTGCAAGAGAAATCCTGTCTGCGAAAACCCGGCCCGGCTGAAGCAAAATCCCCGCTGGCTCGGGTGGAATTTCAGCCCGTCCGCGAAATTTCATCCTTGCCGAGGAGACAGCCGAACGCAGCCCGCCGCCGCGTTACGCCCCTGGGTTACAGCGTTGCCCTCGCTGTTGCCGGATGCAGAGCGGCGCGCCGGCCCCGCGACCCCCCCTCTCCCTCCCCGCTCGCAGGGGCT